AGGTTTCTGGCATAGCCCTGGCTGTCCTGGACTCACTCTGTAGACCACGTTGGCCTTGAACCTGCTTTCGTCTTCTAAAAATCCGTTTATAGCTAATTCTGTGCGTGCGTGATGACGTGTGTTCCATGGGCGTGCGTGATGACGTGTGTTCCATGGCACATGTGTGAAGGTCAGAGGAGAGCTTGGGTGTCAGTTCTTATGCCACTCCCTCCTTTAGACTTTTACAAGGATTCCTGGAATCTAAACTTGGCCATCAGGCCTTGACTGCTTTGGTCTTGGCTGCTACATCCTGAGGTACTTGACTCCCATGAGCCTCTCTTTATCTGGAAGCGCATTCTGCTTCCTCTGGAGACAAGCACTTTCTTGCCTAGAGACCTCGGCATGTGCTGTTCTGTCTGGAATTTCCCCCATCCTTTTCTCCCATCTACTACTCATGCACTGATTAACCCCTAAATTTAGCTCTCTAACCGTTTGTTGTATTGGGAATGGAACCAGGGCCTTGTATGTGCAAAGTGGCTCTTTGCCGCTGAACTACATCCCCAGTGTATCCATGCTTAATTAAGTTAATTTGAGATAGGCTCTCACTAACAACTTCAGGTTAGTCTAGAACGTACAACATGGCTCAGGCTGGTCTTGAACTCATGATCCTCCTGTCTCAGCCTCCTGAGTTCTGGGATTGAAGTCATTTACATGCATGACCCAGTTTGTTGTATCTTATTTTGTTTCATTTTGCTTTATTTCTTGAGACATGGTATCAAGTCCAACCTGGCCTCATATTCACTGTCTTGGCCTTCTGATCTTCCTGCCTCTGCCTCCCAAATGCTTGCATTACAGGCTTGTGCCACCATGCCTGGTTTATGTGAGACTGGCAATCGAGCTTAGGGCCTTGTTCGTGCTCAGTCAGCAGTTCACCAACTGCTACACCCCAGCACCAGTTTAACTTTCACTGCCTGCCGGGGCTGGGGCATAGCTCAGTGTCAGAACAGAGGCCTGCATGCACAAGGCCTTGGGCTTGATCCACATCCCCAGAAAAAAGAATCCCTCAGGGAGACTGCCTGTTCCAGCCCGGAGTGAGCTTTGTCTTCTGTCACATGCTCTGGTCGCACTGGGACCTTCTTTATAGTACTGTATTACAACTGTAGCCTGTTTCATGACCTTGGCATACAGTGGGGCTGAGGTAAAAGAAATTCTTCTTTCCACCCTCCTTACATACACCTCCTCCTTTGTGCCTCCCCTGAAGCTGCTAAAGCCCTATCAAACTCCCAGCTGCAAGTCATGGACGCTCCAACTCACACCTGCTCCCAGGAAACAGTGCAAGTCTCTGCCCTGGAGTTTTAGTGTACGGCTGTGGCTCAGGATTCTAGAAGTGCTGAGCTGGATCCCAGGAGCCCAACAGCGTAGGGCAGATGCATTCTCTAGTTGGGTGTGGTGGCACACCTCTGTAATCCCAGCACTCAGGAAGTAGCGGCAGGAGGATCATCACAAGTTTCAAGCAGGTCTCCACAAGAATAATAAAGCAGGCTGGAGGAAGTCATGAGAGCAAGCCAGTAAGCAGTAGTCGACTATGGCGTCTGCTCCAGTTCCTGCCTCCAGATTCTTGCCCTGCTTGAGTTCCTGCCCTGGCTGCCTTCAGTGTTCTTGGAAATGTAAGATGATCAACCCTTTCCTCCTCAGGTGCGAAAGAAACCCTGACTACGACAGTGACTTTAGAGAACTGTGTTTCATGTGCCATTCTGTGGACTAGCTAGGCTCAGCTTCAGAGTTCTGGATCGCATCAGGATTGCTTACACTGCGACTTGTCTGTGCTGGGGGTCCGAGACGACCTCCTGGGGCTAGGGTTATTAATTCCGTGGTAAAGTGTTTGCCTAGCATGAACAAAGTTCAGGTTCAGTCCCCAATACCATAAGAAACAAAACGACAACAAAACACATTTATAGCATGCCAGTTGTGTGAAACGCAACTTCCTCATCACGTGATTGCTCATCTTCTTACAGCTCAATCCAGACTCTCTCACTGTGGCAAGAGGGAGGTTGTAAGGACTCTTACATCCCAGCCTTGGAAGCCATGCAATGTCATGGAACTGTCTCCAGTCAAAGTCAATCATAAGGCCAGTCAACGTACAAGGAATGGGGGAATGTCTTCCCCACCTACACAGAACCATTGACAAAACTAGGGACTGGGGAAAGTCTTCCCCATGTACACAGGACCACTGACAAAGCAAGGGATGGGGAAAAGTCTTCCCCATGTACACAGAACCACTGGCAACGCTGCAGTGTAAAAGGACACGGAAAGGCAAAGATCCATGGGAAGTGATCACTGAAACAACCCACTCTACCCTACAACCCGCCTCTTTTAGGTCCTTGCATCACCTTCCTCCTACCTTTGAAACCTGGCTCCTTTGATCTTTATGACCACTAGAGGCTCATCTCCTTTAAGAAGTCTTGATTCTGGATGGGGAAGTGGCTCAGTGGTGGAGCACTTGCCTTGCATGCTGAAGTTCCTGGGTCTAAGCCCCAGCACTGCAGAAACAAACCAAACCAAAAAAGGCGCACACCTTTAATCCCAGAACTCAGACGGCAGAGGCAGGAGGATCTCTATAAGTTCGAGGACAGCCTGGTCACATAGTGAGATCCTGTCTCACCCCCTCCCAAAACAAAATACAACAACAAAAAACAAAACAAATGAGCAAACCTCCCCTAAAACAAACAAAAAAACCTTAACAATTGCACCTTCCACCCCCACCAAGGAAAACATGGTTCTCTGCTATGCATCAGGGATCCAATGTGGTATGACCCAATTACTGCTCATAGGGAGCAACTTCTAGAAGTCAGACATGGTGGTGTGTGCACTTGGGAGCCTGAGGCAGAAGGATCATGAGGTCCAGACCAGCCTGGGTTACACAGGGAGAAACTGACTCAAAAACAAAACAAAACAAAACAAAAACCCCAAACAGGCCATTGAACAGATTGTCCTGACACAGTATATTAAGGTCAGGGCTTAAAGGAAACGCGAGGCATCTGGGCACATGCAAGAAGAGCCAAGTTAGCCTTGGGGGCCAACACTTTTTTATATTTAACCACAGTAGAGGCCTCCAGGCAGACAAGACCAGCTACATTAGGCTGTCTTCCTTCTTCCAGCCATCCTCCTCTTCTCCTTCCCCAGCTAAATGGTTGGGAGCCAGAGCGACAGAGAAGAATCAGCAATGTTTCTTCTCACTTCCTAGCTGGTTTCCTTTGTGCTGGTTTAATTCTCAGGCAGATTTTCCTTAAACATTAGCAAAGGTAGTCACTAACAGCTCCAAATTCATGCTCTGGTTGCCTAGGCTGGATTACAGGTTCACCACCTGGAATAGAGTGGGTGCCCTTCCCCTGGGTGCAAGAATGAAGTAGAAATGCATCCTGGGTAAAAAAACAAAAGGATGTGAAAGTTGTGTGGTGGCTCAGTACTGGAATTTCAATACTTGAGAGGTAGGAGGATTGCTGTGAGGTTGAAGTCAACATGGGCTACATAGTGATACCATCTCAAACAATAGAAAAAGTGTGTTGTCATGCATCCGTTAACCTGGACTTGGGAGGTAGTGACAGTATCAGGAGTTTAAGGTTACTCTTAGCTGCATAGAAGCTAGAGGTCAGCCCAGGTTGCATGAGACCCTATCATAAACTAAAATAAGGAGGGGTCCCAAGCCAGCCAAACACGAGGTTACCCTTAGGCAGGTGGCCAGTTCGGCAGCCTTTCAGAAGAGTGATAGTGGAAGGTGAGGTGGTTTGGGAAGTATGGAAAAATTTGGGAGCTGGCCAGACGGTTCAGGGAGTTCAAAATACCACTAACCTGAGCTTGATCTTGGAATCTCACGCGAGGAGGGAAGTCCTATAAGTTGTCCTCTGGCCTCCATATGTGCCCAAGCAACCATAAAATAGTAATAAGTAAAAATGATGTTAAAAAATATAATTGGGAACTTGGGGCCAGATCTTTCCAAGGATGCTTGGTTGTGTAAGATCCTGAGACATGGCTCATGTTTTCCCTGTGAAACTGGATCTTCTCCCAGTTGTCTTGAGGGTTAAGTGAAATATCAAACACAGAGACTTAAGAGAAGACCACCCAATTCTCTTTGGTGTTAAATCAAACACCAAGGTCCTGGAGATGATGTACCTTGCACAGAGGAAAGAAAAAAAGAAAAAAGAAAAAAGAAAAAAGGAGTGCCTGCCACCTAGTGGCCAGCATGGGTCACTGCATGACTCAAAGCAGCATCTATGTACAGTGCTAAACAAGGATGGGTGTTCTTTATAGTTCAGGCTTGGCACAGAGACTCTGAGGTAGGCACTGTTTCACATGGAGGGGGGATGGGAATGGGAGCTAACTAAGCAAGATCACAGAGCTTTGTGGAGGCAGAGCTGGCAGAGCCCTGGTGGCTGGATTCCAGAGTGTGAGTTCTCTGCATTGCTCTAGACTGCCTCTCTGGGGTTCATGCCTCTGTGCAACCTTCCTGGGTCACTAGAACCATAGGAAACTCGCTCTTTGATGCTCACCTGCTGTATGTGATCCTGCGCACCGATACCTGACACCATTCTAGGCTGCTGAACTCAACAGAGTCTTACAAAGAATGCTAAAAGCAGGCTGGCTATGGTGACTCAGGCCTCTAATCCCAGCACGCAGGAAGCAGAGGCAGATGGATGTCTGTGAGTCTGAGGTCAGCCTGGTCTACACCAGTTCCAGAACAGCCAGGGCTATACAGAAAGACTTCTTTCTAAATGATGAAAGTAGAATGTCCTTTATTAGAAGACTGGGACCCCTGAGCGCATCATCCTGTTGCCATCAGAAAATACTTAGTACAGACAAGAAGTGGGACAACTGGGGCCTTCACTGAGTGGGGGACATCAGAACACTTTGGCTAAAAGCTGCCTATCCCATCATCCCACTTCTGACTCAAGAAGCGCACAGACCAAATTGACAGCAGCTTTATTTGGAATGACCTTCAAGGAGAAACACAACTGTTCAACAGTAGAAAGGCTCGGTTGTAACAGATTCAAAGGATTACTAGATAGCATTTAAAAAAAAATGAACTTCTTGTAGGTGGTGGCAGTGGCACACACCTTTAATCCCGGCACTCAGGAGGTGGAGGCAGGCGGATCTCTGAGTTTGAGGCCAGCCTGGTCTACAGACCCTGTCCCCTCACATACACAGTAACAGATGAAGCTGGATGTGATGGCACACGCCTTTCACCCCAGGTCTAGGGAGGTGGAGGCAGGAGGACCAGCAGTTCAAGGCTAGCCTGGCTACTTCAGACAAACTGGAAAACCTCAAAAGTTATACAGACCAGATGTTCATTTCTCAGTCTTTTCATACTCCAGGCTGGTAGCGCTCATGTCCGGGGCATTCCCAGATGCCCGCTATAACTCTCTATAACTCAGATTTTCAAGGGTGAGCCTCCCTAGGGCTCCACAGCAGTGGTGCTGGACGTGAGCTGGTAGGGACTCCTGACTCTAGACAAAGAGGTCTTATAAGGCGAGGGCTCACGCGGGTCAGCCCATCCATGACTTCCCCTTCACATCTTTACCTAGTAATCTTTACTAATTCTGACACACTGGGCTGCATACAATTCTGGGGAAACTGCATCGGCCCATGGTTGGGAAGCGGAAAGCTGAGAACCTACTCTAGGAGCTAAGAAGAGCCTCTCATAGCTGGCTAGGGGCAGGCGCCCAGAACAGAAAGCTGCAGAGAACTGGACCTGAGGCTACCTGGTCTGGCCCATCTGCATCCGTTTCCAAGGCCGGAGCTCCCTTTCCCATCATTTCCAAGCCACACAAAAGGCTCTTAAAAGGACCAAGGCCTATGAGAAGCTCGTGGAAACGCCTCTGGCTCATCACCCTGAGCAGGGAAAGGACACCTGTCCTTCAGCACTCTCACCCAATCACTCAGAAGCTCAGAAGTTAACACAGAATCCTGGCCATGAGGTTGGTGCAGATATCCTGAAGGGATGACCCCAGAGACAGCCTATGGACAGTCTCCACTCAGCAGCCAGAATGACCATCTCAAGAACAAATCAGATTCCAAATTAGATTTTCTCAAGACCTTCAGGAGGCCACCATGAAAGATGGAGGTGGCTGGGTCAATGAACTGGGCTGGGTTTAGGACACCAGGTAGACTTTTCCTGGGGTAAGATCAATACCAAGGGCCCTGGAGGCTACTGACTGGGGTGGGGGTGGGGGAGTTATTATAGTAGTATCAACATGGCTGGCTATAATCCCTAGATCTGAAGTTACAGCTTGGTTCACGGAAGAAATTCTTTATTTGGATGATTGAGTGGCCAAAGGTTTAAGTTAAAGTCCCGCCCCCATTCCTATATGGTACCCAACTTCATTAACAAGTGAAGGGATACTTCCTAGAATCCTTGTTCCACAGCTATGTGGAAAACAAACAAACAAACAAGCAAATAAACTACTCTCAGTGGATTCTCAGGCCACAAAACACCAGTAGAAAACTCTCAGTTCAGGGCCTGGGGCCCTTTTCCTCACACCATTTCTCCAGTCCTCCTCCTGGGTCCCCCAAATCTCCTTGAAGATGACAAGGGAAGGATAGCACCACAGCAACCCGGGGGTATAGTCTACTACACAAGGGCACAGAACTAACACCAAGCAGCCTTCCAACAGGCTGGCAGGAGGCAGTTTGCCTTTAAGGGCACAGGGTCAAGGAACACAGCAGGTGGGAGACTTTCTCACACAACCCTGGGTCACAGCACCTCTGATAAATGACAAAGGCTCCCTTTGGTGTATCCCATGATCCCACAGGGCACTCAGGTCTCCTCAAGCTCCGAGCTACTGCAGATGCCTACGAGCACCATTTGGGACCTGGAGAGACGGGCAGCAGATGGCAGTGCTGTTAGGACTACATGTGTGTTCCAGGAGACTTCACGGCGGCAGGATCTACACCAGGCAAGCCTGCACATCTGAGGGGTGGGAAGTGACACATTAGCTCCAAGTCTCTACATGGCAGCCACTCAGTCTCTGGTTTGCTGCCCTGACGAAGTCTTCAGGAGCTGCCTGGAGCCCAGAGATGGTGCTCTCCTCTGTCTGTAGGAACTTGCTCCACACTGACCTTGAGCGGAAAAACAGATACTGGGACTGCAGGATGTGTACCCAGAGGGGCTAGGGAAGGCTAACCTCTAAACCACCACCTCAGGTCTTCTCTGGAGCCCTGTCTCCTACATGACCTGTAGGGTCATGCTAAAGAGGAGGCTAGGGGGCGCTCCATCCAGGCCCAGTCAGAGATTGTCTGCAACCCAGTTTGGCCTCATGCCTCCATATTCTTCTGATATTAGAAAGGAGGAAGAGGGAGCCAAGGGCTCCACAATCACAGGGAACTGGCTTGTGGCTGTTCCAACAAGGCTGACCAGGTGACCAGGCAGAGACATCTCTAGTCTTCCACCACACTCGAGTCCTTTGGAGTGGGCTGCGTTTGCTCTGGCATCTGGCTCATAGGTGACACCACTGTTTTGGGTGACCTGTAATTTGAGAAGAACAAAGGCACAGGGTAAGTGTGTGGCACATACACTTAGTAGTAGCCTGCACTAACGTAGTACAGTTCTCCTCATATGTTAGGACAATGCCAGGGTGACGTTATTTTTACTGAGGGCCACTGAATGCTAGGCCATTACCACATTCAACCTCATGTCAACTCTGTATGGCAAAGAACAGCATCTTCATTTTATACATGAAACTGACCTTCAGAAAGCTTAAATGTTTCTTTAGAAATTTGTGAAATTTAGGATCCACAAAGGAGAAAACATGATTTTTATCTTTGTCTCAAGTTTGGCTTATTCTGCTTAAAATGATCTTGAGTTGCATTCACTTTCTGACAGAATTCCTTGTGCGCATGAGAGAGAGAGAGAGAGAGAGACAGACAGACAGACAGACAAGGGGGATCATTTCTTTCTTTTTTTTTTTCAAGACAGGGTTTCTCTGTAGCTTTAGAGCCTGTCCTGCCTGGAACTAGCTCTTGTAGATCAGGCTGGCCTTGAACTCACAAAGATCCGCAGATCCACCTGCCTCTGCCTCCTGAGTGCTGGGTGTGTGCCACCACCGCCAGGCTTGGGGGATCATTTCTTATGTGCTTTATATCTTTCTGAAATGAGGCTTCTCACTGGTCTAGAACTTGCCAAGCAGGCTACACTGCCTGGTCAGTGAGCACCAGGGGTCTTCCATCTCTGCCTTCCCAGTGACAGAATTACACATGTATTACCGCATATGGCTTTATTTTTGTTTGTGTTTTGGACAGTTTGCAATCAGCCCAGGTTGACCCTGAATTTCTAATCCTCCTTGCCTCTCCCTCCCAACTGCTGGAATTACAGGTCTATACCATGCCTGACTGCATGGCTCCTGACACCCTCCCTCCCCGCCACCCGAGACTGGGTTTCTCTATATAACCCTGGTTAGGCTAGAACTCAATCTGTAGACCAGGCTGGCATCAAACTCAAGAGGTCCTACTGCCTCTGCTGGATTAAAGGTATGAGCCACCACTGCCCAGCCCCCCTGAACCTAGCTTTCTGAGACAGGATCTCCCTGTACCTTACACTAACTTCTGCTTTTTCTGCCCTCACCTCCCCAGGGCTAGGATGACAGGCATCTGCTACCAGACCCACCTTACTTCTTTATAATCATTTTGACTATGCAAAGTAAGCTTTTGATGGGTTTGTTTTCAGACAAGGTCACACGTGACTGAGGCAGCTATGAGCTTGTTATGTAGACAAGGAAGATACTAAACTCTGAATGTCTGCCTCCATTTCTATGTGCCAGGATTATAGGTATACACCAACATGCCTGGCAAAGTACAATTAGAAACAACAACAACAAAAAGATAGTGTCTTACTGAATAGCCCTGACTGGAATTCAGTTTGTGGATTAGGCTGGCACTGAAGTCCCAGAAATCAGCCTGCCTCTGCCTCCTGAGTACTCAGTGCAAAGTACATTTTTAACTGTTAAGTTTCCAAGACACAATTCACTCTGACCATGGGACCCTATCTCACCGGGGGTAGTCTTACTTCATCAGCCTCATTCTGATATTCTCTCCCACTAGCTGGAGACATGGTGCCACCTGACACTGTCTTACATATATGGATGTTTGGTCTCTGTTCCCACTTCTAACAGAAGGTCCAAGGAACCAGGGACATTACTCTTGGTTTCTATTGCAGCCAATAACACACATGATACGAGTATATGCTTGTTTGTTTCAGAGAGTCCCATTGCCTGGCCCAGGGTTGGCCAGAACTCACAATGTATCTCAGGTGGCCTCAAACTCATGACCTCCTCCTCCCTTTCCCTCCTAGTGCTACTATTCTAGAAAGGAGCCACATGCTCAGCTTATGTACCTGTTGACCAATGAACATTACTGTCTTTGGAACCGGAGATGGCTTAGTGATAAAGAGCATGTACTGCTCCTGCAGAGGACCCGGGTCTGGGCTCACCAATGAATGTAACTCAAATTCCAGGGTACTGGATCCCTTCTTATGGTGTGCGCACAAGTACAATTATAATGAAAAAAGAAAATTTATCTTTTTTTCAAATGTTCTTTTGAGATAGGGTTTCTATGTGCAGCCTTGGCCATTCTGGAACTTGCTCTGGAGAACAGCCTGGCCTTGAATTCAGAGATTATTCCCCTGACACTGTCTCCCAATTGCTGGGATTAAGAGTGTGCACCACCACCACCCAGCAAGAGAATTTATCTTAATAGCGAACTTATTTATAGTTATTCTTTACATGCTGCTTCTGATCCTTACATAGCCTTGTAAGGTGAGGCAGGCTAATGAGCTCCAGGAGGCAGCAGGAGAGCAAAATCAACAGTCTGCAGCCTCAAGGGTATCAACCTTTGTTTAACTCCAAGTCGCTGTGTGACCCAGGGCAAGCCACTCAACCTAAGTGACATTAGGTAAAGGAGATGTTCTAGTGGAGCTCTCCTGAGGATTTAATGAAAATGAATTGTTCAATAATTGTAGAAAATCATGTTTTCCTACACAAGCTGCTACAGGCCAAGAAACCCAGGTGCTCTCTGGAAACCATAAAGGAAACCGTCTGTGCATCTCTACCGGAACTTCTGGCCTCGTCTGTCCACATGTTGATGAGGGAACCCCGAGACACTGCCTGTTAACTGATTTAAGCAGAGAACTTCCTGACTGAGAAACCCCAGCTACCTGCTGAAGACTCTTCAACTTCAAAGGATGCTACTCACTGGTTCTTGTGTTTGAAGCCACTGACGTGAGCTTGGTACTGTTCTATGGAGTTCAGCACTATCTTACACGTCTTACAGGGATAGCCCTTCCCGGCTGAAACACACATCAAAACGAAGAGAGTTAGTTATCCAGTAAGAGGGAACCAGAAGAACGTTGCTTTGCACAGAGCATAAAGAGGCCCTTCTGAAGACTGCTGGGTGGAGCTGATCCCAGGGTTTAAACCTGGTTCTTCTGGAGGCACAGACTGTGCAACACTGCTCCTCCTTATCCTCATCGAGCAATCTTAGTTCCTGATCCCAGCAAACGCCAGACCAGACTGTTACTGAATAAACGGAGAACAGAATATGAGCTGCTGAGACAGCTTAGTGGATAAAGAAGCTTGCACCTCAATCTGATGACCCGGGTTCAGAACTAGCGACCCACAAGGTGGAAGGACAGGTCTGACTCCTCCCAGTTGTCCTTTGACATCTACACGTACACCCCAGCGTGCACACCACCCTCAGCAAAATAAACACGTCTAATAAAGAAACCGCAGAACAATGGTGACCTTCGCTATGTTTAGTGGCCTTATTAAGGGACCCCTTCGTGAGGTCTCAGAACGGTCCATTCTCCTTGGGCTTGCGGCGACAGTAATTAAGGAGTATAACTGTTATGAAAATCTATCCATCTTTTCACACTGGGGTTCAGACATCATGACCAAGTTCCTCCGGTGACATAGTGGCCTTCAGCCACATGGCTCCAGCAGTGAGTCAGGACTAAGAGCCCAGACTGGGACCCTGGCTGTTTCATGTGACGAGGCTAAGTCCTTTTCCTTCCAATGCTTAGCTTTCCTCAACCATAAACCAATTAATGATATTACTTTACACTCATAAAAGTATACTTTATCCCAAGTATACTCATACTTAGGGTAAAACAGCCAAGTCTTGGGCTTTAAAAAAAATTTGATTAATGTGCATGTGCTTGTCTGCTTGAATGTACACGTGTGCACGTGCCCAAGATGCCAGAACAGAGTCATATCCTCTGGAACTGGAGTTATAGGCAGTTGTTAGCCACCTGGTATGGTGCTGGACCCAGACCCTCTTCGAGTCCGGTAAGTGGTATTAACTGCTGAGCCATCTCTTTAGAGCTATTTTAAATTTTATTTTTGAAATGAAGTCTCACTACATGATGTACCTCTGGCCTTAAAGCCATGGCGATTTTATTACTTTAGTCTCTTGAGTGCTGGAATTATATATGCATCACCATGCCAGGCCAAAATGTCTACATGGGTCATGTATTCCCTCTACTTTCTTTTGAGACAGTATCTCAGACTGCCCTTCAGCTTCTGTCCCTCCAGCCTCACCCCTGGCTCTGAGGCCCTCACCTCTCCCAGCTCTGTAGTGAGGTCACCTATGTACAGAGCTCACCTCCACACTCACACGGACTCCGGGCCAGCTGTTTAACAGCTCTCATTTCCTTGTGTGTGAAAATAGAGCCTCTCTGAGATTCTGGGTTCCTGATATATAATATCAGTCTCAGACGGTTAAAATGTTTTTTAAAAAAGTATTAGAGTTGGGGATAGTGGCACATGCCTTTAATCCAAGCACCTAGAGATAGAGGCAGGTGGATCTCTGTGAGTTCGAAGACAGCCGAACTGTATAAAAAGACCCTATCCCCTTAAACAAAAAAACAAAACAAAACAACAAAAAAACAGAAACAAAGAATAAACAGAAAAGGAATGGTATGGGGATGGAGGATTAATAAGAACAAAGATTTATAATATATGTATGAAAATGTCATAATGAAAACCACTACTTGTAGGCAAAACAAGAGAAAATAAGACCCTTTGTTTAGATAGAGTCTTACATAGTCCAGGCTAGCCTGGCCTCTGGGCATAGCTAAAGCTGGCCTAGAATTCTTGATCCTGCTTACATCTTCCAAGTGCTTGCTGGGATTACAGGTAACAGGCATTTTTGGTCTCATGTAATTCAGCTGATCTTCAATTCTCTATGCAGCCAAGGATGATCTCTGATTCTTGATCTTCCTCCGACACCTTTCAAGTTCTGGGATTCTGAGGAGTGCTACCAGGCCTGGCTCACTGTAGCTTTATAGTATGTTTAGAAAATCTGCAGTTTTGCTTTTTCAGGGCTGCCTTTGCTGCTGGAGGTCATGTGTTACACCATACACATTCTACCTTTATGAAGAATGTCACTGGCATCTAGATAGGAATTGTACCAAATGCACAAATCACTTAAAGTATGAATATTTCAGTACTAAATTTACCAACACAGGACAAGTCCCCATTTTAGAGATGATGGTGCTTTGTTCTTTGGGAGAGGGTTTTGTCATGTAGCTCAGATGGGCCTTGAACTTGAGGCAATTCTCCTGCCTTGGGTTCATGTGTGTATTGCCCTGTCCAGTTCTTCTTCAATTTCATTACTTATTTTGTACTTTGTGAGCATGCATGCTTGTGGAGGCCAGAAGTTGATATGAAGTGTCTTTTTCTATTGTTCTTATTGAGACTGATTCTCACTGGACCCAGAAATTACTAACTGGCTAGATCCACCTAACTGTCCTGCTGGCACAATGGTATAGAAGTGCACCATCACACTCAGCTCTCCTGAGAGTGCTGGAGTCTTCCTTCCTGCTTGTGGGGCAGGTACGTTACCAACGAACCAACTCCCCAGGTCCCTTTTCAATGTCTTTGATTAGTTTCATAATTTCCATTGAAGAGAATTTTCACTTCCTTCAAAAATTTTTTTTTTCTGTAGTCATGAGGAGATAGCTTTTCTGATGTCTTTCTTAGCAGTTTTGTTATTGGTGCATGAAAACCTGATTTGTTCATTGTACCATGTCTTACTAAACTTATTTGTTAGGTTCTGAGACTGGGTCTTGCTATGTAGTTCAGGTTGGCCTTGAACTATTTCTACAGCACAGGCTGGCCTGGAGCTATCATCCTGCTTCAGATTATAGACAAATGCCACCACTTTCTTCTTTTCTCTCCCCCCTTTCCTCTCTCTCTCTCTCTCTCTCTCTCTCTCTCTCTCTGTGTGCATGTGTTGAGACAAGATCTCAATGTACAGCCCAGGACAGGCTTGGACTCACGATTTTTCTGCTTTAGCCTTGTGAGTGATGAGATTCTGCAGGGGACACTTCACTCAGCCATTTACAGAACATACTGATTAGTAATGTTTTATGGGCACAATTGAAATGCACGGCAAAGAGAAGGGAAATACTGTTTTCAATGATTCACAGCAAACAGAATCCTGAGTAGGAGCACAGACAAGAACTAGATTGAGGAAGATCGTCTTCTCACCCAACTGACAGTCTAATACTGAGATCAGATTTCTTATAGTTATCTTGGTATACTGTAAAGAGTTCTACATTTAAACTTTTCCTTGTACAATAGGTTTAAAGCTAAATGTTAGGGAACAGGGAAGGCTGGGTATACGCTCAGGTAGAGTAGTGGAGCAGAGAAAGAAAAGGCCATCTTCCATTCAACAGTAAAGGATATTCATTTGAGGTCAACATTAAGAGGAAGTGGGATGACTCACAAGGTAAAGGCACTTGCTTAGAGGTCTTGAAGCCTTGGTTACAGAGCTCACAGGAGGAAGGGCAGCTTACCCGCTTGTGGAAATACCACTTTTGGTCTAGGCTGATTTTTTTTCATGGATTGTTTTCTCATACTGTACATGTTTAAAAGACTGGAAAGACTCTGGTTAAGTGTGTTGATGCTAGTTTGGATGCACACATGTTCTGCTGGGTAGTGCTGTGACCTCTGATGCAGTGGACCTTCTGGAGAAGAATCGTTTTCTGTGGGACGCTACGGGAATGAGACAAGTGTTCTGGTTGCTTCAGACTCAGACAACCCTCTTCTGTGGGAAAAGGGCGCCAGTGTGCACACCAGCTTCTAAAGATGCTGCTGCGACTGAGCCTATGCCAAGCATGGTGGGCGGCACAGCCCTGTAATCCCAGAAGCTGGGAGTGGAGGCAGGACAGTCAGGAGTTGTCAACCTTGGAAACAGAGATAATTTGAGGCCACTGTGAACTATATGAGACTGTATCTCAGAAAACAAAACAAACCCTAATCCCCCCAAACCAAACTAAACAGGACTGCTCTTGAGTTTATAGACTGGCAGGTTATATTCACAGCAGGAACAATCACCTTGCTTCCATTTATTTATTTATGTTTGTTTGTTTATTTATTTATATAATTGCTTATGTGTGTGTATTCCTGATTCTCCAGTCTCTAACTCCCAAGTGCTGGAATTACAGGTGTGCACTGCTGTGCTGTTTGTGTGGTGCTGCTAACTGAAGCCAGGACTTTGTGTCTATGTTAGGCAAACACTACCAACCGAGTAACATTCCCAGCCCCAAATATACTGTAGACCAAGAGGAAAGGCCCATAATTATTTGTAAATGCCCATTCCCATGATGGCAGGTGACATTCTGAGGTTAAGGAAGCTAGAATGCCCCCCCCCCATGATTCCCTAGTGATACAGGTAGATCTCAAATGCCAAGGAAAGAGCTATCCTGAGGATGCTCAAACTTTGGTAGAGACCAGAGACCTTCAATCAAGCAATGTGGATGTTACCTAGGGAGTTTAAATCAGGCTGGGGAGATGGCTAGGTAGTTAAGAGCACTCGTCGTTCTTCCAAGGGACCCGAGTTCAGTTCCCATCAGGTGTCACAACCATCTGTAACTCCAGCTCCAGGGAATCAACCCCGTCTTCTAGTCTCCTTGGGTATCCACGCTTACGCACCCACAGATACACGTAAACACATAATTAAAAAAATAAATCTTGCTGGGCAGTGGTAGTACATACCTTTAATCTCAGCACTTGGGAGGCAGAAACAGGTGGATCTGTGAGTTGGAGGCCAACTTGGTCTACAAAGCGAGTCCCAGAATGGCCAAGGCTGTTACATAGAGAGACCCTGTCTGGAAGAAACAAAAATAAATAAATAAAAATATTTTTTCTTCTCTGCATAGCCCTAGCTGTCCTAGAACTTACTTTGTAGAACAGGCTGGCCACAAACTCAGAGATCTGAATGCCTCTGCCTCCCCAGTGCTGAAGTCACCACTGCCAGCCACACTCTTTCTTTCTTTTTTTTTCCTTCCTCCCTTCCTCCCTCCTTCCCTCCTTCCTTCCTTCCTTCCTTCCTTCCTTCCTTCCTTCCTTCCTTCCTTCCTTCCTCCCCTCCCCCCTCCGAGACAGGGTTTCTCTGTAGCTCTGGAGCTTGTCCTGGAACTATCTAGCTCTTGTAGCCCAGGCTGGCATTGAACTCACAGAGATCCACCTGCTTCTACCTCCTGAGTGCTAGGATTAAAAGCGTGCGCCACCACTGCCCAGCGGTTTTTTGTTTTGGACACTATCTTTTTTTAAATTTTTTAAAAAATCTTTAAACCAGGTGGCGGCGGCACACACCTTTAATCCCAGCATTCAGGAAGCAGAGGCAGGTGGATCTATGAATCTGAAGCTAGGCTGGTCTACATAACCATTTCCAGACAGAGCTACACAAAGAAATCCTGTCTCAAAAACCAACCAACAATATATATAAAACACAATATAAATGTATAAGCTGGTGGCTCTTAAACATGCACAAACTCTTGTATTTCATGCCCAGTATCAAAATAAAGCTAACAATAATGATAATAAAAATAAGAATTTGGATTTCCATAGCTTTTTTTAAACATGTTTCTCTGTGTAGTCCTGACTGTCTTGGAGCTCGTTATGTAGACCAGGCTAGCCTTATACTTACAGAAATCTATCTGCCTCTGCCTCCTGAATACTGAGATTAAAGGTGTGCACCATACCTGATTTCCACAGTGCCTTAAAATCAAAAACCAGCAATACCATTAGATCTCAGAGTGTTCAGCTGACTGTGGTTATCTTTGGAGCTTACTGAATTTCCTGCTTGCTCCCCTACATCCTCTAAAGACAGGTTCCCACTATGTACCCAGACCGCCCTTGATTTGTTCTCCTAAGTGTTGGAGTGTATACCAAGCCTGGCATCCTGACTGCCTTCTGTGTTTGCAAACCCTGATTTAGAAGAGGCAGGAAGCAACACACACTTGGGTCATCCAGGGAGCTCCAGTGCTCAGTCCCTGGTCCAGCTCTGTGTATGAGCCGGGCTCTCTCACCTGGTAAGTCAGAGACAGCAGGGTCTGCCAGCCGCCCATAGTGCGCCATGAGTCTGAGCTTAGTCTCCTGCTTCCTGTGTTTCTTGCCCATATAATGTTGTTGAGCCATGACAGGGTTGTTGAAGGTTGAATGGCAGAGGCTGCAGAACTTGTCTGGGTCTAGCATCTCTCTATTCTGGTGCAAGGCTAAGGTGGAGGCCACAAGGAAAGGATTTGTAAGGTGTTTCGACAGAGCTGTGGTGAGAGAGTTCAAACAGAAACAATGAAAAAACAACCCAGAAGGTGCCAGGCTTTCGAGTATGCTTGAAGTGGAAGAAAGGCAGCGTGACCCATCACACTTGGAGATGGGGCACTGCCTATGAGGCTCATACCATAAATGTCTCTTCAATTGGGAAAGCTGGCAAGATCTGAGCGGATGCAATGAACAACTGATTTGTTTGTCAGCTTTAGGAATATGAGCCCTGATGTTCTCACACTCTGAAGAGGCTCTGAACTTGGAATATCGTTACCTAACTGTAACAGACCAAGCAAACATACTTTCAGTCTCTCTAGTCCTCAGAATGTCTTGGAATTTCCAAGTGAGTAGGGTAAGAAATGTGAAAATTTCATTCCCATCCTTAAAATATCTCAGTTACAGAGAGCTGAAGTAGACATCAAGCTCTGAGCCCATACTGAGTCAGGCAACCAAATTAGGAACTCTTTCTTTCTATCTTTCTATCTTTCTTTCTATCTATCTATCTATCTATCTATCTATCTATCTATCTATCTATCTACCTACCTACCTACCTACCTACCTACCTACCTACCTACCTACCTACCTATCTTTGGGAAAGGGTCTCACTATGTAGCTGTGTAGCTCTCTGGCTAGATGTAAACCAGGCTGGGACTGAAGAGTTTGCCACCACACCTGACAGAGATGCCTATCAGACTACGATGAATTTTAGGCAATGTGAGGGAGAAGAAATGGTGGCAGTAACAATTACACCTTTTGTATACACATTTTCCCTTTTGGTTCCCAGAAGTACTCCAATGAAGGAGGCATCATTTTGCCATATTACAGAGAAGACTGAAGCTTAGACAGTAAAAATTACTTTCTCAAGATGACCAAATCATTGAGAGAACCTTGGACTGTATGACCCTGGAGCTTTTGCTTTACCCCAGGCTCGAGTGTAGAGCAAGTAGATCTGATGGCTACCACTGATGCAGGCATCATCAGAAAATATTCCTGACTCTGTGCAAGCAATTCAATCTGTCAAGGGCTGAAGAGCAGGTTCAGTGGCTAAGAATGACTATTGTTGTTCCACAGAATCTAAGCTCAGTTCACTGCATCCTTGTCACAAAGCCTTTATCCAATTGTCCTGGCCTATGCAGGCAAGTGTACACACGTATACACACATGTATACACACACACACACACACACACACACACACACACACACACACATACACACTTTACAAAATAGAAATCAGGGCAGGAGAGATGGCTCAGTGGTTAAGAGCACTGCTTGCTCTTCCAGAGGTCCTGAGTTTAATTCCCAGCAACCACAGGGTGATTCACAACTGTCTATAATGAGATCTGCTGCCTTCTTCTGGCATGCAGGAATACATACAGGCATTACCCTGTATACATAACAAATAAACAAATCTAAAAAACAATAGAAATGAATCTTTTCTTAAAAAAAGAAACCAGCTAATCAGAGTCTGCTATGGACATATGTATGATCCTCTCATAGGTCGACATGGGATGTTGAAAACAGGTCATATAGATGGCCTTTTCAAGTAGATGCTATGTGTGTACATGTTTGTGTACTCATAAGTGTATGTGTGTGTATAGGTGTACACGCCAGAGTACATGTGTGGAGGTCAGAGGACAACTCTGTGATTCGGTTTTCTCCTTTCACTTCCACATAGGGTCTGAGAGTCAGACACCCAGGATTGTGTGGCAAGCACAATCCTTGATGGCCCAAGGTTATTCTTCAGAATACACTAGAGGTGGGGCTGGAGAGACGGTTCAGTGGTTGAGAGTACTGACTGCTGCTCTTTCACAGGACCTGGTCCTACACGCTGGTACCAGCACCCACATGGTGGCTCTCATCTGCTTGCAACTTCAGTCCTAGAGGTCTGATGCCTTCTCCTGTGGGCACCACACGCACATGGTGCACAGACATACAGGCAGGCAAAACATCTTATACACAAAAATAGATAAATACTGTAAAAACCTATACTGGAGGAAAGTAGTGCAGTGTGTTGCAGAGTTAGAGGAGCTATTTAATGGACATCAATGCCAGCAAGAGCGAGCGCTGCTCTAGAGAAATACGGGAAACATGCAGAGTATGTTTTCCAGGGATGTCTGCTCTTTTTATAACACAGGAAAAGTAGTGAGGAAATGTAAAGACTCAAACTAGAAGAGCCATCAAGTGAAAAGAGGAGAGAAAAATGCACAGACCCAACACTAGAAGAACCATCAAGTGGTTTGCATGATTGCTAAAAAGACCTACAAAAAGTCTGCAATAACCTGGGGGAATATTTTTTCTTTTTAATCCAACACTTTAATTGCATGGGCCCGTGTGGTAAGTGCACATAGAGCAGTCCCCATGGAAGCCAGAAGTGATGGAGCCCCCTGGAGCTGGAGTTACCAGGATTTTGAGTCACCCTACATGGGTGCTGGGAATCAAACTTGGTTCCTCTGCAAGAGTAGAGCACACTCTTTTTATGGTGTGTGTATGTGTGGGGGGGTTGAGACAGGGTTTCTCTGTAGCTCTGAGGACTGTCCTGAACTGGCTCTTGTAGACCAGGCTGGCCTCGAACTCTTGAACTCACAGAGATCTGCCACCTCTGCCTCCCAAGTGCTGGGATTAAAGGTGTGCGTCACCACCGCCCTGCTAGAACACACACTTAACTGCTGAGTCATCTCTCTATCACCTAACAGGAGGAAGTATTATACTAAATGAAGAAATATAAAAGGACCATATTGATACGACAATATGGTCATGTCAATGCTAAAAGTTTTTGTGTAATCTATATAAATATACTGACATTAAAAAATGTCACCTATACGTACACATACACAATGCATACATGATAGCATGTCATGCAGCATATGGATGTATTTGTTTGCTTATTCTTTTGAGTCAGGGTCTCACTCTATAACCCAGGTTGGCCTAGAACTTGCTTGTAGCCCAGGATGGTCTTAAACTCAGCAATTCTCCTGTCTCAGCCTCTCAAGTACAAAAATTCCAAGCATGAGCCACTGTTAACAGTGCTTTCCTGGAAGTAGGAGTTGGGTGGCATTTTACTTGCTTCTTTGAATATTTTGCATGTTGAACGGAATTATTCATGTATGTGCATCATTTTAACAGAAACAGAAAATTACATATTCTATGTTTATAAGCACATATACATGGAGTCAACTTGGATGAACATAAAACAAAAAGAATACAAGCAGACATACACATACACATAGTGCACAAGATCATAAGAGCAACAGTACTCTTAAATGCTAACACTCCAAATGGTAAAACCATGGAAATTATGTTTAATTTCAGGAATAAAGTTACAATAAACTCGTGAAGTAATATGAACACATGCTTAAACTATGAGGCTGAATGGAAAGTTCTAGAGGACACAAATGGCTGATGCGACACAGAGTGCGGAAAGTCACTGCTGTGTAGACATATTGGTAGAAGGCTTCTTCCACAGATTTTTCTCATCTGTGAGATGTGAAGTCTACGACATTATGAATTCAGTTCTTAAGACAATTTTCCTCAGCCCAATGCTTAAACATTGTGGTGCTGTTACCAGCCCTCACTTCACAGACAAAACTCAATTAGTCCTCATCTAAAGTTAACAAATCAGCCACAGGCAAGGTCAATGGCACACTCTACGTCAGTGCATCTCAACTTGTGTGTCTCGACCCCTTTGGGGGTTGAACGACTGACTCTTTCACAGGGGTCACCAAAGACCACCGGAAAACACAGATATTTATATTATGATTAGTAACAGGAGCAAAATTAGTTATGAAGCAGTAACAAAAATAAACTTTAGGCTGGGGATCACTATAACATGAGGAACTGTATTAAAGCGTCACAGCATTAGGAAGGCTGAGAATCAATGCTCGAGACAGTGGTTTCCTGATCAATAACCGCATTTTATGAGGGGATTTCACTCTGGCTTTTTAATGGTGACAACAATAATGACAATAGCTGGTATTTAGTGAGGATCTGCTGTATCCTAGATTTTTCTTGGGGGGGGGGGAATGTGGTGTTTGGCTCTTATTTATTTTTTGGGTGCCATATAGGACAGGATGGTCTCAAACTTACAGGCAAAGATGGCACTGAACTCCTGATCTTCCTGCCCCCACTTCTCAAGTGCTGGGATCTGAGGTGTGCCATCACACCTGGCTGCCCAGTGGTTTGGAAATTACCCTCCCAAGCTTCAAAGCAGGTGACACTGATACTTTACAGGCACAGAAGCTCAGGCACAAACGGCAAGTGAAAGCGCCAGGACTGAAGCCTGTGCTCTTCCGACTTCAGAGTCTATATGCTATTGTTTCACACTGTAGGTAATAGATTTGGGTATGAATAGAGGGTATAATTATGAGACTTTTCTATCCCATCTTCAAAACCTTCTAAAACACAATTGTTTTGTTTCATTAATGCAGTAAAACAAAAAGAATCAAAAGTTATATCAATAGTGTGGTGTTGGTCCAACACAGAGAACACATACATACACACACATCCCAAAAATCAAAGGTCTCAGTTAGCCTAGGTTAAGAACCCCAGGACTCAAGATGAAAGTGAAGGCTGGGCCAATTGTGACAGGATAAAGGAGGCAACTGTGAAGTTAGTGCTGGGAAGTGGATTCATGGCAGCTGCAAGAAGCTTGCTAGGCAACACTACAGAGCGCGCTGCTTTGAAGGCTAGCCCGCACCTTTAGAACAGGCAGCTTTTGTAGGTCCAAGTGAGCCAGGTATAGCCTGAGCCCATGAGAAAGACGAGGAATTAGCTGTCAACTAGCAACATTTAGTAGTAAGAGCAGGTGGGTGGTGGGAGGAAGAGGAAAGCGAAGAATGCTCACAGAGTGTGTCGGCCTTCCGTTCTCTGAGTTACAGTTATTGGTCAGGACAAGACTTGGGCTGAGGAGCTTCTACAGAAAATGACACAAGGGGGAAGGGAAGTGAGTGCAAGTCTGGGGCCGAATTTCAATGAAGCTGGATCTCAGGTAGCCCAGGTTGGCCTTTAAAGTCCCTATGGCAGTTGAGGATGACCTTGAACTACTAATTTTCCTGCCTCCACCTCCTGAGGGCTGAGATTACACCTGGCTATGTAAGGCTGGGAACGAAAGCCAAGCCTTTGTGCATATTAGGGAAGTATTCTACCAACTGACTTACATCCCCGACTCTTAGGTGGAACTTTCAGGGCTCTTAAAAGCAACCTCTCCAAATCTGAGGCCCCAGTGAGCATTCTGGAAGCACCTGGCATTGGTGCTCCGAGGACAGGAGGGGTCCCAAAAGCACTACTCAGAAAGCCAGTACCTGCCCCCTTAGTGGACTGCGGCTTCAGCTTTAAGTTCTTTGCGTGGGTCTTCCCCAGGTAGTGCGACTGTGCCACAACAGGGGAGGAAAAGGTCATGTTACAGATGGGGCAGCAGTGGTTCTTGTCTTTGCTTCTGCTGCTCTTCTGGTTGGGAGAGAGAACACAATCTGATCATGCCATTGCGCATCCAGAAAACCTTCAGTGGTTCCCCTGCCCGTGGCTGGTGCACACACTAACCCCAACACGCCTGGAGCAGTCTTCTCCAGCTGTTCCATGGCTGGACTGTGCATAACTTCAATTTTATTGTTATTTTCTTGCTTTGCTTGGGTTATTCCTACTCTCTAGAACATTCCTCCTCCCTCCTGCAGGGCAGTAGGTCTGCCATCCGCCATTCAATGGCTAAGCCCCCTCGTACGCATACACAGGAAGAATTAACCTTGCTCCTCACCTGTATTCCAAGTCTATCAGATTTCTAACACACCCTCTGTCACCTACACAGACAGCATAACAGCGTAGGAGGCTTTGATATGAGCTCAAGTGCAATGCTGGCTGTGGACAACTTGACTTGTAACCAGATGTGTCGAGCAAACAGTACATATCCAGGGCTCTTAGAACAAGTACACCACCAGGTTCCATTTGTTGCTACGGTTATGCTAGGAAGTGTATTTTAATCTTCCTGAAAAGTCTGTCTTCTCAATAAGCTATTTCTTTAACATTTCTCAACCTTCTTACTGAAGACATTTTGGGGTTAGTAATTTCTAGCTGGTGATGGGTGCTATGATCTCATCTGAGCCACTCAGTCACCCGAAGAACTGAAGTGCAGAGAGGTGAAATGATCTTCCCTATCTGGATCTCAGCCATAAGGGCAACTAGAAGATGATTTTTAGAAGGGAAGCAAGGCCCCTTTAAACCACCGGCCACTGCAGTGGGAAGGCGGTCTGGAAAGTAACCTCTTGTTTATCAAGCATTTACTGGGGACGAAATTTTACCTCACAACACTAAAGAGGCCAGACCACCTCCACTGCATGAGTGAACTCAGGGAGGTGAGGTGACTTGTTCAAGGCTGCCCTCTAGTGAGTTAAGAGCCCTGTGCACTGACTTCCGGTCCATGATGTGCACAACTTCCACACTCTGAAAGTCACAGCACACTCAAGGAATTAGAGTTTGTCTCATAATAATTCTTATAGTAACTATGAATTAGTAAATAAATGCAATTGCTTCATAACTGGAGGAGGTATATTGCCCAGGCCAAATGCTGAAAGCTTGTTACCCCTACAGCTCAAGAAAATGAACATCCCTCTACTTCCTCTCTTGTTCTGTTTCAGTAACCCTTCAGGTGGGAAGGCAATCAATGGCTCCCTTTGCTGAACTGCTACTGTAGGGCGGGTCTGGGGTCTGGTGGTGTTTTAGAAGTCTCTCAACTTCTGAAAATTCTGAAAGGCAGCTGTAATAATCTTTTTGTTTGTTTTAAGACAGTCTCTCATTGTAGCCCAAGATGGCCTCAAACTTGCTAAGCAGAGGAAGATAACCTTGAACTATTGATCTTCCTGCTTCCACCTCCAAGTGTTTGGCCACATGTATACAGCACCATGCTTGGAAGTACTGTTGTTTCTAACAGAGGAAGAAGTCCAGGCTTGGAGTTATAAGACTTGCCCAAGTTAGACAACAGGGCTGAGACTGCAGACAAGTCAGTCCGAATCAAAGCCTGTGCTCACACACACCAACCTGCTGGGGAAGCAAACGGTTTCAACAAAGTAGCTGTATTACCTGATCTGAGTCTAACCTCTTCACGTCCCCCTTTAGTGTCTCCATTCCATGGATTGCTAGGTAGCTCTTCACTTTGTTGGCATGTTTTTTGCTCTGCAAGAATCCAAGGAGAAAGATCAAAGATAGCCAATGCCATTTCATAGAGAAGGCAACCATGACATAACAGATTCTCACCTGATTCCTCCTCACAAAACTTCTGAGGATGAGAAAATGGGGGAAGAAAACTCATTTACTGAATGTGCTAGACCCTTGACATGCTATTACATTAGCCTTCAACAATCTGCAAGAATATTGTTATTTTATACATGTAGAAGCTGAGGCCACGCATGGTGAAATTTCTTGCCTATAAGATGATGTAACAGATTTGGATTCAAACTCAAGTGTGTGTAAAGCCAAAGCTCACACTTCTTGCTACACCGCGCAGTACAGAAAGACCTACATAATGGCCCATTTATTCAGAAGGGAGAGATGAGATTCACAGAATAAGTCAATCTTCAAGTCCCAAGCAATCATGCATGAAGGAAACATCTGGAAGAACCAGCATTCGCTGTGCAAGACAGGAGAGGAGAGGGCTTGGCACTGGAGCAGAAGATAAGTTCATGGCTATGGTAGAAAAGGCCTACCTGGTAATGTGACAGCTTCTGGGACTCAGAAATCAGCATGGCGCAGCAAACTTTACACTGGGTGTTGGTGAAGAGACATTGGTTCTTCTGGATCATGTGCTCCACTACAGAGGGAAGAGAAATCATATAAGCTGACAGATATGACCTCAACAGTACTGTCTCCGATCTGTCCCAAACATAGGCACTGAGGAATGGGACACCTCATTCCAGTACATGTGCAGATCTGATTCTCCTTGTCACTGGGTCATGGCTCGTGCTATGCTCGCAAACCAATTGTATTACTACTTATTTTATATAGGCCAGTGCTCTTAGTCACCCAGTCACACACTGCTGTCAAGTGAGATGAGGTTGTCCTATGCTGCCCATGAATTCCTGGCTCAAGGGACCCTTCTGCCCCAGCAGATGGGACTGTAAGCTCACACCACCACACACTAACTCCTGCCTTGGTAGAGGACTGTAAGCTCACTCTTGTAGGGCCCGGGTCTACCCTTGCTCCTGGAGTGCATCTTGAGGACAGTTTCTGGTCAGCCAGCTAAACATCCTGTTTGTTCCTGTGCTCCCTAGGCCTTGCCTGGTGATTAACTGTAGGGCATTGTTTCATCTTTGGTATGGTAATTTCCCACCTGCCTGGGTGGAAATCCTTGTGCAGCAGCTAGGTATATAAGGATTTCCCCAAAGTTGAATAAACGGCATTCGGCTGATCTCCTTTCGAATGACCCAGGTCTCTTGTGTGTTCTTTCAATCTCCAGGCCCTTGCCCAACTTGCGTATGGTACAGTGGCGCGCGAACTGTACCGAGGGGGTAACACAGAATCGGGTGTTACAACCACCATGCACTGTAATTTAGAAATTGTAGCTGAGGACTTCTCATGAAAAAGTTCTAAAGCAAGATGAAGAGGTGCACACCTTTAATAACAGCACTCAGGCAGCAGAGGCAGCTGGATCTCCGAGTATAAGACGAGTCTAGTCTACGTAGTAAGTTCCAGGCTGTGTAGGGCTCCATAGTAAGATCCCATCTCAAACAACATCAATAGTTTTAACAACATTACAGGAGAGATAGCTATTTAGGAAAAGAACAAAGCACACTGTGGTAGTTTGAAAGAGAATGGCTCCCAGAGGGAATGGCACTATTAGGAGGTATGGCCCTGTTGGAATAGGTGTGGTACTATCGGAGGACGTATGTCACTATGGAGGCGGGCTTTGAGGTCTCATATATGTTCAAGCCACACCCAGTAAGACAGTTCACTTCCTATTGCCTTCTTATCAAGATAGAGTCAGTACCACATCTGCCTGCATATCACCATGGTGTACCATGATAATGGGCTGAACCTGTGAAAATGTTAAGCCACCCCAATTAAATATTTTTCTTTATATGGGCTGTTGAAGTCACGGTGTCTCTTTACAGCAATAGAAACCCTAATCAAGACACACATCCAAGACATGGATGTGCATTCCTTATTAGATAGGTCTATAACTAAATTTAAAAAATTACTTTATGTCATGTGTATCGGTATTTTGCTTGCACACATGTCCGCACACCATGGAGGACATAAGAGGGCACTGAATCCCAGGGAAACAGAGTTACAGACAGTTGTGAATTGCCAAGTGGTTCTGGAAATCCAACCTGGATACTTTGCGAGAGAGCAGTCAGTGCTTTAAATTGCTGGACCAATTGTGGCTCTAGAACTTGTTCTGTACACTAGGTTGGCCTTGAACTCACAGAGATCAGCCTGCTTCTGTCTCCAAGTGAGGGATTAAAGGTGTGTGACCATGCTTGGCTGTAGCAAACATTCCAAGTAACTGGACAGTGTGAACGCAGCAATCCAATCCCTCTCCCTGGTGGAAGGTAACTTTTCAGCCTAGCATATCCTGGCCTCCACAGAGAAGAACACAAACCTGGGTCTGCATTACTGAGAGGCAGCAGGGCCCTAATAGAGGACATCTTGATGCTCTGTACAAAGTCCTAGCTGAACAGAAAGGGTTTCTAGGACGCTGGCCCAACCAAAAACCAGTACCTTTGAACAACTTCATCTTTAATTTTTTTAATCAGACGTCACCAAATCAAGATGGTTAGACCTGCTGACACTCCTACCTCTCAGCACCTTACCCTGCGAATGTTAGGTAAGCTGTCATTCAGCTCCAGCTCTGACACAAAACTTGTCATTATCTCTACTCCCTTTCCCTGTTCACAAAATGGATCACGTGCTTCTTTACTGCTGAGCTGACCACTCGATGCTCTCCTTCTGAGAGAGAGAGAGAGAAAAAGGCAGAGGGGGAGAGGGAGACAGACAGACAGACAGACAGACTCAGGAGGAGGGGAAGAGTTTTTGCTACTAGTTTAGCTGCAGGAAACTCATCACTTTTCAGACACAGTCGTCTGTCCTGGAGCAGAAGCTCAGACTCTATTAAAATTGACAAAAAGGGAGGAGGACGTGGAGGTAAAAGTGTGAGCCTATTTCTACCTTGTCTGAAGGTCACACCTGTTGAGAACAAGTGTGGCTACACCCTGACCTAGGGTGTGGTTACTTGGTGTTTCTGACATTAAGATGGCCCATATAGGTAAATCCACTGCCCCCTGACCAACGGTCAGGATATTCAAGTATACTTCAGCTCCTTCTTTTGAAATAGGAGGTTTGACCTTGGGAGTGGCTGCCTTCAGGAGACGTGGTCTAGCTCACACGCTGCCTAGACAACAGAATGTTAATGACTTGATGGCTCAAAGTACTGAAGTAAGAAACTGCTCAGTCTTCTGTCTTCTTTTGCCTGTGGTATTGGGGGGTATAAAAGTGTATAGGAAATTAAACACAGGCAAATTTTAGTATTCACTGGAACTCCCTCCCGGTACTATCTTACGCGTCTGTTTGTCATTTTGACTTCTTTGCTAACTTTTCTAATCCTCACGTCTCTACCTTGTTGAAGCATGGTCCCCGACAGTACATATACCCAACAGAACATTATACAGCCACAAAAGACGATGAAATCTGTTATTTGCAGCAAAATGAATAGAACTGCAGGACATTATTTTAAGTGAGAAAAGACAGGCAAAGAAAAACAAGCACCACATGTTCTTTCATATGGTAGAACGTAGCTATGCTTCAAAAGGCACTCTTTATAAAATAAAGCTGTTTATAAAATGAGCTGGTGAGATGGCTTAGTGGGTTAAGGTGCTTGCTGCCAAAGCTGATCTGAGCTCCTGAGTTCAGTCCCTGGGATCCACATGGTGGAAGGAGAGAACGACTACTCCAAATTGCCCTCTAACCTCCACGAAAGCTATGGCACCCAAGTGCTCACACACATACAGATAAATGTAATAAAAAATAAAGAAGATAGCCAGACATGGTGATGCATGCCTTTTATCCTAGCACCCTACTAGTCTGAAGCCAGAACCTGGTCTATATAGAGAGTTCCAGGTCAGCCAGTGCAACATAGTGAAACACCCTCCAAAGAAGAAAATCTTAAAACAAAACGAAACAATGAAGACAAGTCTCAAAGAAAACATATGTGGATATCATATCTGAAATACAGGATTTGCACCTAGAATATAAAATGGTTTATAATTCAGTAATAAATAACCAAGTCATAACATGAACAACAATGTGACTAGATAGTTCACTAAAATATACCAGAGTAGTAAGTGAAATGGCGCTTACTGTCACCAATATTTAGAAAACAAGAAATCACTACACACTCACAACAGCTGGTGTGGTGGCACACTCTTTTAATCCCAGTACTCGAGAGGTAGAGGCAGGTTATCTCTGAGTTTGAGGCCAGCCTGGACTACAGAGTGAGCTCCAGGACAGCCAGAGCTACATAACATAGAGACCCTTTTTCAAAAACATAAAATAAAAGGAAAACCAAACAAAAGGTAAAACAATAAACAAAGGGGAGGACATAGAGAACTAAAGCTCATGCTTTAAAGGAAGAAATTGGAAATCGAAAGAAGCCATTTTCGAAAGATTTGACAGTTCCTCAAAATGTTAAAGATACAGAGTTAACAACACACAGCCCAGGAAGAGACCCCTGGGAAATACAATGGATGTGCACACATAATTCCACAGCAGATGCACTGGAAGAGGGCCGGTGAGGTGGCTCATCAGGAAGAGGTGCTTGCCTCATGTGCCTTACAACCCAGCTGGGTCAATGCCCTGATCCCACCATGGGAGAAGAGACCTGCACACAAACACCATGGCATGCATGAACCTGTGTACATACAGACACACACAAATAAAAACTGTAAAGATTTTCTCACTGGGCATGATAGTGCCTACCATGAGACCTAGCATTCAGGAAGCCAAGGCAGGCAGATTACTGTAGTTTCGAGTCAACCTGATCTATCTACATCATGAGCTCCAGACCAGCCAAGGCTAGACAATGAGAGACGCCTCCAAAAGAATTTCTCAGAAAAGGTCCAAGCTAAAAACCATTCAGATATTCCAAAAAAGCAAATGTTCAAGCAAATATAATATACCCGTAAAGCAGAATTCTTTTTAAATTTCATTTTTAATTTTATGTTCATTTGAGTTTTGTCTGTATGTATGTCTGTGGAAGGGTGTCAAAAGCCCTGGGACTGGAGTTACAAACAGCTGTGAGTTGCTGTGTGGGTGCTGGGAATTGAACCCAGGTCCTCTGGAAGAACAGCCAGTGCTCTTAACCTTAACTGCCGAGCCATCCCTCCAGGTCTAGCAGAAGCAGAGTTCTATTTAGCAATAAAAAGGAACATATACTGTGACTTGACTGAGCCCCAAAAACATGCAGAGAGAAGCTAAACACCAAAGACTATATAGTGTATGATTCTGTTTGTATGAGATGTTGACGACTGTAAATCTGTGGAGACAGAAAACACATTAGTGGTTACCTAGGGCAAGTGGGAAGATACATGGGAAGGACCGGAGATGGACACTACCTGTGATGGTGGATATGTTCTAGAATTGGACTGTGGTTATGACCACACAAATCTCTAATTTTACTAAGAATCTCTGACTAGGGGTTGATGAGATAGTTTGTTGGGTAAGTGAACTTGCCACTAAGCCTAAGAGCCTGAGTTTGATCCTTAGGACCCACATGGTAGGAGGAGAGAACCATCGCCTGAAAGCTGTTGTTCTTCGACCTCCGTACACACACCATGGTACATGTATGAGCATGCATATCACACACTCTCTAGATAAATATAAGAAGAAAAAATATTGAGTTGGGGGCTGCAGACCTCAGACTCAGAGTCTGAGTTTGGTTCACAGCACCCATGCTGGCTCACAACTGTCTGTAGCACCAGTTCCAAGGGTATTCACTCTGACAGGGGCACACATATAGACATAATTAAAAGTAAAAGACATTTTAAATCATTTGAGTGGCACACCTGTAACGGTTGAATTTATGATATGTAAATAGTAGACATGCTACAAGGAAAAAAGTGGGCAGAATGTAAATGCTGCAGGTAAGTGAGCCAGAAGTGAGGGGAGGGAAATGAACTGGGTTGTATGTATCATGTATGTATTGTGCTCATGCATATGTAAGCAAATAGTTCATTAAGCCACTGTTGTCTTCTCCGCTTCAAGGTCCAGGGCACACTCTTCCCATCTCCAAGGTCACTTCCCTTTTGTGTATCCCCCAATTCTGAGACATCCCTCAGAGGTTAAGAGCATTTACTGCATTTGTAGAGAACCAGGGTTCAGTTCCCAGCACCCAAATGGTAGCTCCTAATGGTCTGTAACTCTAGTTTCAGGGATGTGATGCCCTTTTCTGGCCTCTTTGGGTACCTGACACACACATAGGGCACACACACACACACACATGCACACACAGGCAAAAGCTTATCACACAAAATTAAACAAAAAATCTTTTTAAAAAAGTTTAAACATGCCTCCCTTGTACATGGTCAAAAATTACAATTTTATTCAGTGAGAGCAGTTCACAAACATTGAACTTTCCAAGATTAATTTGCTCAGCAAGCAAACCAACCAGGACTGAAATCCGGATTCTCTGCAGAGACCTGATTAGCAGATATAACCCAGATACAGTTTTTGTACATCTGGGTTAACATTAAGTAGCTAGCTCGGGAAAGGACTAAGAAAGAGGCCGACTCTTGCTGTTCTTCTCTATCCCTTGTTACTCAGTTTTGGGTCAAACGAAAGCATCTGTTCACTTCAGCTCAGAAGTGTACCAACCCCACCTGGGTCCACTGCTCTCCACAACTCTGCATCAGGGTGAGATGGAACATCTGGAGCCAAGACGATTACCTAGGCCAGTTTCTCCAGCTCCTAGATCTCCTCTTTGGAATAAGGGCTTGGCAACAGGCACATAGAAATACGGTATTGCTGGGTATGGTGGTGCAAGCCAGTCATATCAGCACTAAGGAGGCTGAGGCAAGTTCAAGGCTAGTCAGGTCTATCAAGAAAGAAATATGGCAAGCCAGGACACAGTCATCAAGCTCAAGAGGAGGCTGGGATTCAGGAAGACCTTCCAAAGCTCAGACCTCTCATAGGGCAGGAGGCACGCCACGAGTTTGAGAGGCGTCGCAAGATAAATAAATAAAAACAAAGTAAATTGAATAAAGCCGTTCAGATCCGTCATAACTGTAGGGCTTTGAAAGGGAAGGGAAGCAATGTGGAGATATAGGATTAAGGACAAATAGGAATGGTAGACGGCTCGGCTAGGGTGAGGCTGGGCAAGTCCTGTTGATCTCCAAGAGGACAAGACCTGGAATTTGGTGGAAACTGCCCTCATGTGGATGCGAAAATTCCGCAGGTAGCGAGTTTCGAGGTTCGGGACGTCGTGCAGAGGCTGGCCCGCGCCAGGCCACGGACAGGCTGCAGGCCGCCCCGCCTCCGTCCAGCCACTATCCCCCCCCGACTCACCTTCCTCCCTCCCCGCCGGCTGAGCACCGGACACCGCTTCCAACAGGCGGCGCGCCCTCTCGCGGTCGAAGTGGACTCCGTCCGGTTCCCGACCCTCTTGTTCCTCGGAGCTGTACTGTCCAGCCCCTCCAGAGTCCGCAGCCTCCGTAGTACCAGGCGTAGAACACTCCATCTTTCCCGCAAGCCTCGCCGTTGAAGAGCTGCGCATGCGCCCGCTGCAGCGAGCGGCGGGTAAGCCGGGGAGCTGACCCGGTCAACAAATCTCGCGAGGTTCGGGCTCTCCAAACCACGTTGGGGCGGAGCCCTGAGGCGCAATTTGTTTTGGTACCTGTGGAACCTTGGGCTGAGTGCGGTGACCTGGAGGAAAAATCGTAGGTGGTGATTACTACACCAAGGCGTCTTCGTTCCAGGCAGTTCTTAGCTCAGGGCTCTCATCTTTGCTCACGGTGAGCCGCTGACTGACACTTCTCATTTCTTTTTGTTATATGTAGGAAAATTTCTCCCATTTCTTTGGTAGGGAACCGAAGGACCAGATTCTAGAAGTGTTTTATTTAGGAGTTCGTTAAAGCAGACGTGGTAGCCGGCTGTGGTGGCGCACGCCGTGAATCCCAGCATTGAGGCAGGCGGACATTTGTGAGTTCGGGGCCAGCCTGGTCCGCAGAGAAACTCTACCTCGAGAAACCAAACCAAACCAAAAAAAGCCCACAAACACACACACACACACACACACACACACACACACACACACACACACCCCAGACATGATGGTACACAGGCCCTTCGTCTCATCACAGGGGAGTTGTAGTTGCAGGTTGTATGGTCAGGAGGTGGATGCCGGCCTGGGCTATATGAGGCCCTTTCTTAAATAAAGCTTGTTAGGGGAAAATTCAGAGGTCAGCAAGAGGGGTCGTCTCTGGCTCTGGGTAGACCTGTGATGTCCTGAAATGCCTAGAAAGTCATTAATTGATAATTATCTAAGTCTGATTCCAAGAGCTCATGAGATTACTACATAGCAGGAGGCTTTCAGATAAAGATCAAAAGCGCACGTTTTCCCCTCTCAAAATAGTCAATCCAAACACACCTGTCAATTACCCGGACAGGAAAATACCCATTGGTATTCTATATATCTGCTAGAGACTTTAAAATAGTATAAAGCCTACGTAAAATGTAACTAGGACACTTGTCTTTCTGGCCATTGTTTACTCTCACCCCACTAAAGTGGTTTGCTCTCCAGTGGTCTCTTTGGCCGTTGCCCACTGTCATTCCTTGATGACACTTTACTCTGTAATAAACTTGTCTATCTTATATAGTTTGCTCAAAAAAAAAGTTTGTTAATAGCTGATCAAGGTGGCTCATATTTAAAATCCCCAAATTTTCAAGATTAAGGCTAGGGAAATGCAAATTTGAGACTAGCCTGGGTTACACAAAGAGACTGTTTGAGGCCACTGAAGTACTCTGGAAGTGGATGCAGATGACCGGGAGTTCAAGGCAAGCCTCTTTTACAGTAGATCCTCTCTCAACGAGACAAAACAAACCCACAAAACAAAAAAAGAAAACTCAAACAAAAAAAAAGTAAGTTGTGGTAGTGCTTGCCTGTGATCCCATCACCCTGGAGGCTGAGACAGGAGGATTGCCATCATATATTTGCTAAATATATATCTGAGGTCAGTGTAGAGGCTACTGCCATCTCAGTGTTAGTCACTCTATGGGATCCAGATGAGGGAGTTAGATCCTCTTCTTAGTCTGTGGTGTTTGATCACAGTTCTTGGGCCTGTTTTTCCTGATAAGATCTTAATTTACTCTTCCTGGGTGGTGGTGACCTAAGCCTTTATTTCCAGCACTCAGGAGACAGAGGCAAATGGATATCTGTGAGTTCAAGGCCAGCCTGGTCTACAGAGCGAGTTTCAGGACAGGCTCCAAAGCTATACAGAAAAACCCTGTCTTGGAAAAGCAAACAAAACAAAACAAGTTGCTTGTAAAATGGAATCTCTCAAGGCAAGACAGAGAGTTCAAATCTGAAAAGCCACGGTTTCACACAATAATGGAGTAAAGTAGGGCACAGACTTGAATTGTATTACTGAAATATTAGGTGTCTTATTATTTGAGGCAAGTTCTCTCTATGTAGCCATGGCTATCCTGGAACTCACTAAGTAGACCAGAGTGACCTCGAACTCCCGAAGGTCCACCTGCTTCTGCGTTCTGAGTGCTGAGACTGAAGGTGTGCACTCATGCATTACTTTAGATATGATTTTCAGATAGACAGTGAAGTGACAGATGCTCTGATCCAGGATTCTAGTTTGTTTTTCCTACTGAGAGTTGAAATTTCAAAATAATCAAAGGAGCCAAAGTTGCTTACTGAGACAGTGCTTGTCTTCCTAAAGACCTCTCAAAGGATCTGTTAGAAACAACACACTAAACTGAGTGTGGCGGGACAGGCCTGTAATCCCACAATTTGGGAGACAGAATTGGGAGACCAGGAGTTCAAGGCCAGTTTAAGACACATGAGTCACTGAGCCAGCAGAAAAGGGCTGGCTAAGTCTGTAAAGGTGCTTGCCACCATGCCTGACAACCTGAATTTGATCCCTGGGACTCTCACCTGGTACAAGTGTTACTAATGATTGGGGTTGGGTGGGCAGGGTCAAGGTTGAATGTCGTTTGTTTCCTCTCATTCAAAGAATTGAAAAAATAAGGTGTGACTTTTCCGTGGTTGTGATAGAATACCAAGACTAGACTAAAATTGACTTATAAAAGGGAGACTATTTGGCTTACAGCTCTGGAGGGAGACACCGTAATGGGAAGGAGGCCTGGAGCGAGTGGCCGGCCAGATAGGAGACTTTGAGGTCCCAGCCGCGTGCAGAAGCAGAGCAGAAGTGCAGAAGCAGAGCGGAAGTGCAGCCAGCTGTCACTCTCAAAGCCCGCCCTGAGGGATGTGCTTCCTTCAGCAAGGCTCCACCCACTAGAGGTTCTACAACCTCCCCCAACAGCACCACCAACCTGGGACTAAGTATGAGTCTATGGGATACATTTCTCACTCAATTCAATGGATAAGAGCTCACAAAGATTTACAAAAGAAGCATGCTATCTTTATTTGGAGCAAATCAATAATACATTTTATGAGTATCCCTCTATAAAATGATTACAATTGACAGTAGGTCATATGAGTGAGGGCACTCAAGGGCCCACGATGCACCTTGCGGGTTTTTTATTGAGTCTAAAGGAAGGTGAGGCTGGTTACTATGTGCTGGATAGTTCAGGTGGTTTTCTCCTTTGATTGATAGATTAGTTCATGTATTGACTTTTCCTAGTGTACATGTCCCTTCCCATAATGTATCTGATTTTAGAAATATGCACACACAGCTATGCATAGGCATCATGAGATGGTAAATAGAGGATTCTCCTTAAAACATTTCTAGATATTTTGCTTTGCTGCACATCATCCAAAACCAGTTCAGACCAGATTCTCCCTTCTGTTCTTCATATCTGAATACATTGGGCACACACTTAAATAGAAACTGCCTAAATTTGATTGTTACTAGGGGTGGAGAAACTTCTGCTCAGAGATAGGAGTATGTGTAGCCTGATGCAGACTGGGGGTTGAGGTTTTGAGTTTCCTAGGTATATTGTTTGGAGAGGAACGTGTATAGTACATACAGGTGAAGGAACTGGGGTGTCAAGTGTATTGTTACAAGAGGATGCATGTGTATATTTATAATCCAAACTCAAATAGGGTCCTCAGCTAAACTCTCTCCTATGCATGCCTGCCTCAGACAGAGGGTGGCGACTCTTGAGAATAGTCCTCTGGCCTCCACAAGCTTACCATCTCTTATGCAGACCCAAACATGTATACACACACCGAGTAAATAAATGTAATTAAAATAAAAACCAGTCTGTGCTTTCTTTTTTCCTTTTCCTTTTTGATTTTTTAGAGTCAGGGTGTCTCTTTAGCTTGGAACCTGTCCTGGAACTTGCTCTGTCAACCAGGCTGGCCTCAAACTCGCAGATATCTGCCTGCCTCTGCTTCCTGAGTGCTGGGATTAAAGGCAGATGCCACCACCACCTGACTCCATTCTGTGTTTTCTTAGGACCAAAGTATTTGTGACATTGAGTTTAACTCTTTCTCATACCTAAATCTAAATAAATGCACCTTACTTATAATTTTATTTTTTAAAAATATTTCTAGATGTATTTATTTTACTTCATTGCTATCTTGACAGTTAATGCCAGAGAGGCTTATTAGACATCTAAGTGCAATGTTCAATAAACAAGTGAATATAGGTCTGGAGTTTTGTAGGACTGAGTTAGGGGTTGACCCTAGAATTCTATCACTGGTATTTTCTTTGCTTTTTGGGGGGTTTTCATTGGGTAGGATCTCTCTTCAGAGCCCTGGCTGTCCTGGAACTCACTATGCAGACCAAACTGGCCTTAAACTGAAAGAGATTCACTTCCCTCTCTCTCCTGAGTGCTGACATTAAAGGTGTGTGCCATTCTGCCTGGACACTGTTTTGTAAACTCACTAACCTTTCTTCTCTTTGGCTCTTGATAGTTACTGTTTTGTTTGTTTGTTTATTAGACAGTCTCAGAGTCTGAAGATTGCCTTTGAACTTGCTGTAGCTGAGGCTGACCTTAAGCTCCTGTTTCCTCTACCATATATGTGTGTGCCTCCGTGTCTGACTTCATCCTAAAATCCTGTTATGTGCTGCATGGTCAAGGACTTGGCATTGTATGACTGGAGGCTCCTGCAGAAGAGTGGGAGCTCCTCGTGCCACTGCTGGGCTGCATTTCCCTCCTTCCACTGATAATTAGTGCTGCACAGTATGTTCAGATCGTCCTCAGCTACACAGGGACGCCCTGCCCCAGAGATAGTGCACGGCATGAAAACCACAGTCTTTAAACATTTGGCATGTGTGTATGCTCACGTGTGATGTATGTGAGTAGGGGCGTGTTTGTGCCATGGTGGAGGTCAGATGACAGCTCTAAGGAGCTGCTTCCCATCTTCCACCTTATGAGGCAGGGTCTCCTTTGCTGTATGTTCCAGGTCATTCGCCCATGGATTGCTGTCTTGAGGTCTTATGTGATCCCTGCTCCCAGCTTAATTCTTCTGATATTCAATTCACAGATATTGAGTGTTTTGTTTGGGCTGAGCCCTTTGCTACCTGCTGATGTTACATGGGCAATATTTTTAATCTTTATATATTTTTTTGTTTTGTGTGTGTGTGTGTGTGTGTGTGTGTGT